TAAACTTGATCGAATATTAATCAAGCCAAGGAGAAGACATAAATTGAATAAAAAATACTAATATACTCTAGACTGAGATGCCAGCATTCATGCACATCACATCTTTACTGGCTACTGGCAACTTATTCGTTAAATTATGTTCTGAAACTTTTTGCATCACGCTTATCAAGATTCTCTACCTGGATCACTCAACGCCAGTCTTTCTATTGAACTTCCGGTGTCACTATGTACTCCGCTGACCTTTGGAATTGAAATTGAAGATTTTTTGGGCCTCCATCAACGCCCGTGATGTAGCAAGACCCGACGGAGGAGACCTTCAGTCACCAGGTCCTTCCCGACCAACCCCGAACGAAGTTAAAAGTCCCTGGGAATGAGATTGACCGAGTAGGGATGTAAATACCTCTTCCGTTGTTTCGTGGTAGAATCGGCGATCTGGTACCTTTCACAAGGGTGGATCCAGCTAAAATTTGAGGTGCTAAATGAGCTTCATCTTTTACAAACCTAAAACTTAATTAAAATCCTTAAAGTTTCACCATATGTTTTTCTGTCCAGAAGAAGGGGGACTGTAGTCATCTCCTACATCCCCCTTATCCGCCTTTGTTTCAGGATGTCTAATTCGCCAGGAAAAGCGGTAAATCATCCTATAGGGTCGCGTTACAAATGGTTTTGCTGTTGTTGCAAAATGTACTACATTGATGTATGAATAAAGTGATTATTTAAAACTTAGAGAGCTACTACTACAAGAAGGAATATGGGATATGGTGCGAGTGGACCATGGGACAGAGTTTGCCCTTATGCTGTTCGTTCAGCAGATGCTTAAAGATTACAGAGGCAATACAAATTGTGAATCGTTCATACAGACTCAATCCCGCGAAGTAAGTTGTCAAGATTGCAGAGTTCATTCGCAAGATTCACGTTAAGCATGATATAGATGCAAAAATCAAACGCGCATTTACACGAGCAATTATTTTTATGTGGCAATTTTTATATGCCTGTGTATATGAGCAAAATTGAGTAATTTTACAAATTCCACATAAAAATTCAGTTTAATCTTTATACGATCACCGATCACTATGACAGATTACGTTCATTTTCAGAATCTACGAGCTGAAAGAAAGTGGCCAGAGCTAAACCAAAGGGTTATATATCCTATAAAGGAAGTKCTTGTTTCCATGGAGAATCGACTATTGATCAACCTTTACGATCCAGTTGTAAAATTTTGCGTCTCCGTTGTGACGATGAGCGTTGCTGAAGTCGGAGCAAAGCGSGTTSTTTCCRCATKGAATGCACATCCTATAGAGGGTAAGATACAATTTTATCGGATTTAAATGTTCTTGAGTTGTGAAATAATGTTCATGAGTTAAGTTTTGAAATAATGTTCTTGAGTTATCAAGTAATTGTTCTTGAGTTATGTTAAATGTTCTGTGTATAGAAGTTTCCCGTGGAATATATTAATTGAATTCAATATGTTGAGACTTGCACTTTGAGAGATTTTGCCTATGACCTCCGTGCAGGGGCGCCGGAACGTAGCCCCTCAAGTCAAAAAAGCGCTGCGCCGCCACTGCCCTGACTTACCCATGAAATGCTGGAAAGTGGGTAGGGGTGCTTGACGATACTTTTGGGGGGTCTGAAATNTACAACTTCGTAACTGTTGTCAGCACGACAAAGAGGGCATGCAGGTTGGACTTGCATCTGGCCCCATTGATCAACACAAGGGATGCATCCCATTATGTGGTGGCATGATGGACAGCTGGCTGCTGGTAGTTCAGCTGTACCCAAACAAATTGAACATCTAAATATGTCTTTGAGGGCTTCTTCTCTACTGGTCTGGATGTTTTTGTTTGAATTAACAAAACTTTGAAACTGACTCAGAAGATCTTGATGGTCACTTTTTCTCTTTTTTCCCCCAAAAGGACTCTGTCTCAAATGCTTTATTTCACTTGTTTTTACAGCAATAACCTTTCTATTTGATTTCCAGAATTGAGAGCCTTAGATTGAAAAAAAAATAATAATAAATATACATTACAAGTTACAACAATAATATTGATATAATCCTCAATGTCTAAATTTTGCTCAGATCAGTTCAATACTATTGAACAAGAGTGTCAGTGCATAACCACGCCCTATAATCTTGCTTCATGAGTTTTTAATTTCAGTTTTCATGTACTTTGCTTATAAAAATAGCAAAATGAATGTTGATTGATCAAAAACTTTGCTCCTTAATTTATGCAGTATGTAACCTCTTGTGAGATATTTACAGAGAGACAGCTTCATAAAGCTACACTGCAATTACCATTATTATTTTATTCAGTGACATTTTCTGTACTAAGTGTGACAAATGCTCACAAATTGGAAAACTCAGGTTTATGCATACAGAGACATGACTCTTCATTGTTATTTTGTGAAATGTCCAAGTTAAATACATTCCCTCAGCAATAACTCATAAAATAAGTTAGAAATATCAAAATATAGAATTATTATTTTCAGTTATAAATATTTGATGGATACTCAAGTTAATTTATCTGAATACATGTTTATATAATTCTTAAATTGTCTTTATAGTACTATTATTTGTAGGTGGACTCAGAAGGAGGATCTGAGTGTTTGTATACAAATTATACCTAAGGACAAAGTTGACTAATGTTTAAAACAATCAACCATTCTAAGAAAAAACAGTCAAAACATCAGGAAGTGATATTGTTTTGTTGTGAAAGTACACAGTATACAGACCCAGTTTTTATATTGAATATTYATGGTGCTATTTCATAAAATGCTCATTAAAACACTGCTATGAGAGCATTCACAAAAACTTGCTGTGGTGGGCAGACTGATTAAAAATTATTTTATAGAAAACATTTTTTGAGCACCATATTRATACTTCTTTCAAGAGCCCCACCTTTTGAAACTCTATAATTTGGAACACCACCAGCCCAACCCTGATATAAATTTGGTATCACTAAAACTATGTTCAAAGCTGAAGCCCATAAGGAATCTGGAAGTCAAAACTCAACTAATAGTGAAAGCAATAACTCATATATCGAAGTACGGGGATGATCGTCGTATCTTTTAGGGGTAAAAATCATGGATCTTATTTCTTTTAATAGGGTGTCTAAAAGGTTTTGGGACCACCAATGGATAATCTGGTATCTTTAGGGTGTCATTTAACGTAAAACCAGTCAGCATATTCCGACAAAATTTATGACAATGCTTTTATAAACCTTAGGTGAAAGTATTCGGTGTTGAGATCTCTATAACTATTGATTTGTAAAATTTTAATTGGTATCTTTTAGGGGTGAAAATATTGTGCTCCCACGGTTTCCCCCGGGGCGACACCCCCAATCTCAAACAAATTTTTGCCCCTAAGAAATTATTGCAAGAAATGATAATAATGTATCTATGTTTTACATATCACTGCCTGTCTCTATGAATAAGACTGATGATATTTCATGATATGCTTACGAAATGCATAGTAAATGTGCTTTTCATTGACAGCCTGTGGGAAACTGACTCGAGTTAACACTGACTCAAATTTGTATGTGTCAATAAGCAAATATTCAATCTGCACGAATTGGGTAATAAACACTAAGCTTACACGTAATTCACAAGGCATTTATGGCTTGATAGGTGTCAATTTGATTAAGTCAAAACATTGTTTTGTAAGCACCGGGCTGTATAGGTATCGAAGCACGTGCTACATGAGATGTCAGTGTCGTCGCGACAGCGAGTCAAATTCAACTTTATTGTACTAAGCTCTTACCT